TGTCCAGTGGCTCTGACCTCAATTATCATGAACAGCTTCGAGAGGCTAGTCAGGACCCAAAACAACTCCAGTCTCCCACCCGCCTCGATCCCCTACAATTTACCTACCGATGTAACAGGTTCACAGCAGATGCCCTGCACTCACTCATCCCTAAAACATCTGGGCAACAAAGACACCTACGTCAGACTCCTGCTCATTGACTACAGCTCCGCCTTCAACACCATTATCCCCTCCCAGACCAATCTCAAAACTCCACCCTCTGCAACTGGATCCTCAGCTTTCTGACCCGTAGACTGCAATGAGTGAAGATAGTTAACTGCACCTCCTCCACAATAACACTCAACACTGGAGCCCCGAAGTAAAAAAGACTCTGATTTTCTCCTGCTTCAAAAAGACCACCATCATCCCTGTACCTAAGGATGCACATGCAATGTGCCTTAATGACTACCGCCCAGTGGCTCTGACCTTAACTATGACCTTAACTTGAAGCGGTGCTTCAAGAGCTGGTCATGACCCACATCTCCCAGCCCGCCTCGATTCCCTACAATTTGCCCACTGACGTAACAGGTTCACAGAGGATGCCATATCCCTAGCCCTGCAGTCATCCTTGGAACATCTGGACATCGAAAATACCTACATCAGACTCCTGCTTGTTGACTATGGCTCTGCCATCAACACCATTATCCCCTCCAAACCGATCTCAAAACTCCAATACCTTGGTCTCGGCGCTGCCCTCTGCAACTGGATCCTCATCTTTCTGACCCATCAATCACAGTCTTCCCCTCCTCCACAATAACACTCAACACTAGAGCACCCAAGGATTCATCCTCAGCACCCCCCCCGTACTCCCTTTATACCTACGACTATGTTGCCAAATTCCGAATGAACGCCATCTACATCGTTGACGACACCACCATAGTGGGAGGAATATCTAACAGTGATGAGTCAAAATACAGAAGGGAGATAGAGAGCTTGGTGACGTGTTGCAATGAAAACAACCTCTCTCAATAATCCGCAGAACTGAAGAAGTGATCGCTAACTTCAGAAAGAGAGAAGAACCCGCCTCCATCTACACTAACGGAGCTGAGGTTGAGAGGGTGAAAAGCATTAAGTTCTTCGGAGTGATGATAACTGCCCCACACAGATGTGACAGTCAAGGAGGCACGACAATGCCTCCCTTCATCAGGCAGCTCAGGAAATTTGGCATATCTGTAAGGACGCTCACCAACTTCTACAGGTGCACCACTGAAAGCATACTGTCCAGGTGCATGATGGCCTGGTATGGCAACTGCTCTGCCCAGGACTGTAACAAACTACAGAAGGTAGTGTGCACAGCCCAGATCATCACAGAAACCAACCTTCCTTCTATGGACTCCATTTACATGATTCGCTGTTGTAGAAAGGCTGCCAACATCATCAAAGACCCATCGCACTCTGGCAATGTTTGCCTACAATCTCTTCCGTCAGGCAGAAGATACAGATGCCTGAACACACACAAGAGCATGTTCAGGAACAGCTTCTTCCTGGCTGTAATCAGACTGATGAATGGACTCTCTAGTCTCAAATAATGCTGATCTTGCTAACATTTATCTAGCTACCACACGCCCTGTGCAATGTAACCTGTGTGCCTTTGTCTAAGTCTTTTTGATCTGTACATCCTTTGCTTACTATGATCTGCTTATACCGCTCGTAAACAAAGCTTTTCACTGTATTTTAGTACATGTGACAATAAATAAATAAAACCAAATCAAGCTGACAAGGGTACGCAGAGGTGTAAAAGATGCAAAGGACAGGCTTACTGTGCTTGGTTGTGCTAATGTAGCTGGAACAAGTTTATTGATATACATTGAAAATAAATTAGTGCCCAACAATTGGGTAAGAATATTTCACAGTATTATGATAACAAGAGCTACCAGGGAAATTTAATAATATAATATCATTCATATAAGCAATGAAATAAGTAATTTTAAAGACCCATGCAATCTAATTATAAAGATGAATTTAGGAGTATTCTCAGTGCTATAAACCAACACCTGAGGACAGCAGGATTCCAGGAAACATTTTCAGTAAGACACCAACTGGCTGTACAGTAGGTGTGAAATCAAGAAAGTAAAATCAGCATGACTAACACTTGGCCTAACCTATGGCTAGCAATTATGTTTGCTGATGAAAATGTTGATGTTAATCTTGAAGAATTTAGCATTTTTATGAAAAGGTAATGATTTTGGACTAAGCAAAAGAGTTGTCCACTCAAATAGTGCAATAATTAGGTGAAGTAGCTATTGAAGAAGTTATGAATGTCGACATTGATGCTCTGATTGTTCACAAACCTACAACTGGTGAAATTGTGGAAGGGTATTTTAACGATGCCGTATTGGTGACCAAGAAATTGCTCATAGAAAGATGTATAAAATAGTATGAAAATGTAATTAATGAAGATGGATAACTGAACCAGCAATAATGCAGGTTTAGAGTTTAAGAAAAAAGGATTCATAACTATAGTCATGAAACAAATGAAGCTACCGAATTTCCTTAGGCATCCAATGAGTCTTAGTGACATGCCATCATCTTCAAGTGCAATTTCTCAGTTTGAGACCCCCGTTGCTGACCCATCACCAACCCCAGATATCTCGGCCAAGCCCCTTTCCTCAAACTCAATAGTAAGATCAACTTTTGGCCTGAATATTTACAAAGTAGAAAATGCACCATCCTTGTATTTGATTATACATCTTTTTAATTGCAATTTTCACACTTCAAATGCAGAACAGCCTTCAAATCAGTCTTACCTTATTACTTAGCTTTGATTTTCAAATGGTCTGCACTATTACATTTCTAAAGGAACACATTTCCTTGATTCTGTGTGGCCTCTATTCATTGCAATAAGGTTCAATAATTTTTTGGAAAACTTGCAAGATCAGAAAATCAGTCCTGAGGTTGCTGGCTTGAAAACACTAACTGTAACACTCAACCTGTCCAAATCAATTATTAAGACTGTATTGAGAATACTGAGCCCAAAGAAGTAAAATAATATTTCATAAATAAACAAAACCCAAAAGAACTGCAGGTGCTGTAAATCCGGAACAAAAACAGGAGTTGCTGGAAAGGCTCAGTAGGTCTAGCAACATATCTGTGAAGAAAAATCAGAGTTAACGTTTTGGGTCCGGTGACCCTTCTGACCCTTTTCCAGCAACTTATATAAACCTTCTGTTAGTTCTGGTACAAAACATTAATGGAAATTATTGTATCTTGTGTGACTCTACTTGTGTAAAACTAGAGTCTGTCAGCCTAAATTTTTAAGCATATAGTAGGGACTAACTTTACTCGAGTATAACTTTCAAAGCATATGACACTGATGCTGACTGCTGGCTATGGTTCTGAATTCAGCAGGGAACAGCTGATGTGGGCTATCTATTGGTATTTCTGACATTTAAATGATTTGATGAGCAATTTTCACAAAGAAAAGATTGTTATCATCGACCTTGCTTCCAAATCAGCACAATTTATATGAAAAATGAAGGATTTTGGGATCAAAACATTGGGGGAAGGTCAACTCTTAGGTAAGATTTTTACTCCAATCCACATGGTAAATGTGAGCTTTGGAGAATTAGGTTTAGGCAGAGTGTTGTTAAAGACTAGCCAATCAGAAACAATTGCAGAATGAAAAAAAATCAACTTTAAATTGCATATGGAAAGGAAAGGGCGTGGAATCACAGGGTGGAGGGAGTGGAGAAGTGACGTGGGTTGAATGGGCTTTAATATTATAAAAATCTGTTTTTGGTATGGTCAATTAAGAGAAGAATATTGCTTTAGGTAATGACAGTCTTCAAATTATATTCTAACATCTACAAATATGGTCAGATGGTGTGACTACTTCTACATTACATCTGGGTGCTGATACCTGATATTAACTCATCATTCACTATTTAATTTACAAGTATGCACAATCATAAAGTGGTTGATTAAATTTTTTGAAAAGCCTATAAATGAAATTCCTGCCTGAAATGGACACAAATGCGTCCAGCGATGCCCATGTCCCTTGAGTCACTAAAAAAACTGATTCCAATTGGCTGCTGCGTTACTTAATCCTAACGTATTCCTCATGGTGTTCATCCTGTATTGCCAATTTCATGCTTTAGTTACTCAGAGCCATTAAATTTATGAACCCCCATCTGTTGAGTTACTCCCATAACTCAAACATGGAGAACCTGATTGATTTTATTCTAACAAAGCATAAACCTAAAATCGCTAGACACTGCTAGAATCTAGACAGTATATATAATTGACACATCAACCTCTCTGCCATTTTGAGTGTACTTTGAAAATCACTTCCAGCATCTTCATTCAAGAAGTATTAAATAAAGGATAGCATGATCCAACAAAATATATCTGTTCCAACAGGCAGAAAAAAAACTGACAAAATCTGTCGTTAGGAAAAATCAAATTCAGAAATACTTTTAGACCAGTAAATAGTCATATACCTGTACAGTTGCAACTGTAGGTATTGGAATGACCCTTTTAAATAAATAACAGCTCTTTTGGAACCCTCAAAGCAAAATTGGCCAATAGAATGGCATGCTGAGAAGGGAACAGAAACAGTAAGGCAGGAAGCTTGCAAAATTCACTGTCAAATTGGATCAGGCCAGACAGATATGCAAGCTATTTACCTTTACTGTTTATAATGAATAGATGTTGATGAGACATTGCTGCGAGGTTCAGATGGAATGGTAGATCAGAGTTTCGGTAAAACTGTCAGCACAGGTCCTAGGATCAGCCTAATCAATAGGAAAATTAAAATATCCAAAACTGCCTTTTGTAACATCTTTTTCTGGGACAGAAACCAGTTCACATGGAGTAATCGATATGTTGACATAGTAAACGATAGTAAGCTAATGTACTCGGGTATGAATTGCAGAACTGTATTTAAAAGGGCAACTTGAACCAGAAGGGCTGACACTCCAGAGGCAACATCAGTACAACAAGCAGGAACCTTGGGAGCGAGAACATCAGCTGCAACCTCAGCTCGGCAAACTGTAACTGGGGTTGTATAAACTTCATTACCATCTTCCAAAGCAGATTTCGAACCAGAAAACTGAGTAATTTAAGAACTGTAACGTTACTCAGAAAATACAGAGAGAAACGGGTTTCATAGAATCACATGTATATATCTTGTGTTTCAAGCATAATAAACCATGTCTCATGGTAAACTACGTCTCATTATCAGTAAATGAGTAAATTAGACACACACTAAAGCAACATTTACACAAGTTGTCAAATCGTTAAACAGATAACGTCCCATGTTCATGCTTACATTACGACAGATTATTGGCAGTAAATTTATCATGACTGATTGAGTTCAATTTGTTAACTGTTTGAAAGAAGCAAACTGGATTATGATTTCCTAATACCAAGCATATATTTTGCTATAAAAGTTAAACAAAAATTTCTTTACATCATTACCCTGAAAATCAAACAGTTTCAAGAATGAAGAGGAATACTAAAAAAAGTGAATATCCATCAGGAAGATCTAACTTAAATCTGAACTTGAACCACAATGAGCATTAGACTAAAAGCAGAACACGTGCATTCATTGAAGCATTTTACAACTTCTAATAAAAGTTACTTTCTTATTTTATGTTAATTTAACAAAATTCACTGTAGCATCTTTAAGGATAAGTATGCTGTTACTCCCTCAAAGACAAACAATAGGCACCTTTTTAAAAGACACTAATGATGACAGAATCTAATGGACTAAAAGGCCAAACATTTGGATTTCACTCACTTTCTGTCTTGGTAAGAGTTCAACATCTTCAAATGCTGATGGCATATTAAGCATTTTTTTTGTATTAAGACTATAGGAAGTGAAGGTTTGCCACTAATTGATAGGAGCAACCTGACATAATTTCCTGCAAATAGAATGCACTGGCAATTTTGTTCATCAGATTGATGTGGATGCACCTGTGTAATATCTTCTGCGGGTAGAGGAGTTGATTCTGTCTACAATGAAATGCTCAATTTTGCTTCTTCAGGAATAGCTGTTGCCAATTCTTTGTCAACACCTAGAGAAAAGGGAATGTACAACAACTGAATGAACAGCAATCTAACTCCAACAAATGAAACTTTCTAGCATATGGAACAACATTTTGCCTGTATGCATGCTAAACTATGAATAACAGTGTACTCATAAACAAAAGATAGAATTACTACCAATGTGAACATGCCCCAGCCAACGATAACACTGGACAAGTCAGATCATCTAGTGACAGGCAGCTTGAATGGCCATAAGTAATAGGCATTTCTATGAAGGTCAATCATGGAACATATTTATATACATCTAACGACCGAAGATTACAGATTATTCTAGAAAAGAAAAATACAAATTGTGTTACATAGTATACGAAATATCTGAAACAAACTTATTACTACACATATAACTACAATGTTGTAGTCATTACAGAGAGTTAGTTGCGAGAGAGACAGACTGGCAGCTTAATGTTCCAGGATTTAAATGTTTCGGGTAAGATAAAGAGGAATGTCAGAGTCAGAGAGATGTACAGCACAAAAACCGGCCCTTCCATCCAACTTGTCCATGCCAACCAGATATCTTAAATTAATCTAGTCCCAATTGCCAGCATTTGGCCCATATCCCTCTAAACACTTCTTATTCATATTTAAATGTCGTAATTGTACCAGTGGGTTGCTTTTGTGACCGGAGGCCTGTGACCAGCAGTGTGCCACAAGAATTGTTGCTGGGTCCACTGCTTTTAGTCATTTATATAAATGATTTTGATGTGAACATAAGATAAAATAAGAACAAATTAACATAAACTTAGCAAGTTTGCAGATGATACCAAAATTGGAGGTGTAATGGACAGCAAAGAAGGTTACCTCAGAGTACAACGGGACCTTGATTAGCCACGCCAATGGACTAAGGAGTGGCAGATGGAGTTTAACTTGGATAAATATAAGGTGTTACATTGTGGAAAGGCAAATCAGGGCGGGACTTATACACTTAATGGTAAGGTCCTGGGGATTGTTGCTGAACAAAGAGACCTTGGAGAGCAGGTTCATAGTTCCTTGAAAGTGGGGTCACGGGTAAGTCAGGGTAGTGAAGAAGGAATGCTTGGTATGCTTGCCTTTATTGGTCAGTGCATTGAGCGTAGCAGCTGGGATATCATGCTGTGGCTGACCAGGGCATTGGTTATGCCACTATTGGAATACTGCATTCAATTCTGGTCTCCCTGCTGTAGGATGTTGTGAAACTCGAAAGGGTTCAGAAAAGAGTTACAATAATGTTGCCAGGGTTGGAGGGTTTGAGCTATTGGGAGAAGATGAATAGACTGGGACTATTTTGTCTGGAGCGCCCGAGGCTGAGGGGCGACCTTATAGAGATTGATAAAATCCTGAGGGGCACAGAAAAGGTTAATAGACAAGGACATTTCCCCAGGGTGGTGTAGTCCAAAACTAGAGGCCATAGGTTTAAGTTGAGAGGGGAAAGATTTAAAAGGGACTTAAGGAGCAACTTTTTCACACAGAGGGTGGTGCATGTATGGAATGATGTGCCAGAGGAAGTGGTGGAGGCTGGTACAATTACAACATTTAAAAGGCAATTGGAAGGGTATATGAATAGGAAGGGTTTAGAGCGATCTGGGCCACATGCTGGCAAATGGGATTAGATTTATTTAGGATATCTGGTCGGCATGGGCAAGTTGGACCAAACGGTCTGATTCCATGCTGTATATCCTTATGACTCCACCACTTCCTTCTTGCAGAGCATACAAATAAATAAATGGCTATACCCAGATGGTTAGCACTGCTGCCTCACAGCGCCAGGGACCCGGGTTTGATTCCACCCTCGGGCAACTGTCTGTGTGGACTTTACTCATTCTCCCTGTGTCTGTGCGGGCTTCCCCCGGGTGCTCAGGTTTCCTCCCACAGTCCAAAGATGTGCAGGTTAGGTGGATTGGCCATGCTAAATTGCCCATCGTGTTCAGGGATGTGTAGATTAGGTGGGTTATAGGGGAAAGGGTCTGGGTGGGATGCTCTGAGGGTCGGTGTGGACTTATTGGGCCGAAGGGCCTGTTTCCACACAGTAGGGATTCTATCAACTTGACCCAACTTCTGCCATGTAAGTCATTCAGCTCTATTCAAAGGCCCATCATCAGTACTTACAACAATCTAAAACAGGTTCTATATTTTTGGAATATTTTCTTGTTTCATTTTAAAACGTAACATCTCCTTTCAACTTTGATTCCACAAATCGTTTCTGTTAATACTTCTTCAGGTAAATGAATTCACATTAAGTTTCACACAGGATTCTGATTCCAGATACATGGAATAATACTTCTAAAAAAAAAAGATTTATTTTAATCAATAGATGAAAGGGATATTTATCACAATAGCACCGATTGAGGTATGGAATCAAATTAATCATGACAAGTGCCATTATTCAGGAAACGGTTAACATCCACTCCCATAAAATGGGTATTTATAATAAAGACCAGGAAAGTGAAGCAATAATTTTCAAAGAACTATAAAACCCAAACAATAATCTCTGTTTCCTATGCAACTCTGCTTACAAACAAAATTCTCCAGTTGGAAATTTATAATTCGACTTTCTCTGCTAATGTAAATGTTGGCAAGTTATTACATCATCATGATTGCTTGGTCATCTGCAGGAGGAATAACTGATAAATGACATCTTACTAACGTGATTAAAACGGATTGATATTATGCTTCAAATATGGAAATGCTGGTAGGAATATTCAAAAAGACCAATTAGTTTAGGGCTGCTCTCTCACTAGAGAGAGAACTGATGGTGAGTTTAACCTGAAGGCCACCATGAGTCGGGCAAAAGGCTAGGTCAATAAGTCAGAGCATTCATGGTAACCTCAACCAGTGTGGGAACTGAACCCATGCTGTTGGTGTCACCAATTTTACTTAGGTTGGTCTTAAAAGCTTAAATTCTCACTAGTAAAATAAGAACAAATTAACATAAACTAATGGTATTGATTAGTAAAAACTAATCGTACTGATTATTAAAAATATAAAATATCCTTTCCATTAAACATTTCATAAAAACCAAGAAACACTGACTTTGATGAAAACCAAATCAGACACAAACAATTTTTAGGCAGAGTGATTTAATATTCTTTGACTCAAGTGAATGAAAATCTGATTACTTTGGCTACTAAGGGAATTGAATGTGGAATACAATGACGCATATTGAATATGATGGAATATTTGAAGCAGATTATTTGTAAATGACCTCAAGGCTATTATAGATGACAGCAACAAAATAAAAAAGTGAAATTTGTACACCAACGTCTAGGATGCACAAAGGTTTTTAGTAAAGCGTGCAGGTTATATTATTGAGCACATAGCAAAGATAAACCCTCCCTGGAGACCTCCGCCCACAAATTTCACCTGGACTCTGCCGTGTTAACTATGGTGAAGCTGCCAACATACGCTGTCTCTGCATCGATGAAAAGTTCAATACTTCGGAAATTATCACCTTGTAATACAAACTCAGAAAGTGCAGTTATGCCGTTCTGCAATGCTCTGGAGACTTCACATTATATTATTCACAAAACGCAGACATCACTGACAAGGCCAGCTTTTGTTTCCAATTCCAAATTCCCCTTGAGATAGAAAACTGCCTTTTTGAACTGCTACAGTTCATGTGGTATAGTAAGTCACCAGAGTCCTACCAGATCTTAGGGCTGTTCTCTCGTTAAAGAGAGATAACTGATGGTCATTTAATCTAAGGGCCATCTCACCTCAAGTGAGATGAGAAATTAACAATGAAAATACTCATAGTAACCTCAGCAGCTGCAGGAATTGATCCCAATCTGTTACAAAGAAGGTGATCAGCCAACTGAACTAACTGACCCCTAATGGTCTGGTAATTGTGCCATTAACCTTGTGCTGTTAAGAAGTGAGCGCCAGGATTTTGACACTGCAAGTGAAAGAATGGCAATTTAGTTTTGAGTCAAGTGATAGTGGTCCCATTTCTGTCGGCCTTATCCTTCTAAGTCACTGAGGTCATAAGTCTGGAAGTTGCTTATGTAGCCTCGACAAGTTGTTGCATCTTGTAGACGGCACACAATGTTGCCACTGTGCATTGCTGGTTGAGAGAGTGAAAATCAAAAGGTTGCAGGCGGACTTTGAAGGGACAGGAGGTGAGTTGCTCACCATGTGAATTCCTAGCCTCTGGCCTGTTCCTGTAGTCACAGTATTTACACAGCTGTTCCAGTTCAGTTTCTGGTCAATAGTAATCCGAAGCATGTTGACGAAGTAAGAAACAACGTATTTCCTGTGTTACAACAATAAACTAAAACTTATACTGATTGCCATATAACTGAAATACAAGTGTTGCAACTTGAAAATAAATTGCTGCAAATTTTTGAGCTGTGCAGAACAATGTTTTTGACGCAAAGGGGAAGATTTTGAGACTGAGTGGCACTAACAATCTTTTGAGCCCTATGATTTGTTGAGCATTAAAAGCTGCAAGTGCCTATGCAGAAAGTGAAACACCCAGAGACTGCAAACTGAAAGAATCCATCCCCCGCCCTCGCTATCTCTCTCTGTGAAGGTAAAACAAAAATCAAGAAAGCTTACAAGAACTCTAAAATGATATGACCCAGGTCCACTCCACCAGAATGCTCCAGTCGGAGTTCGTCCGCTCCGCCCATTCTTCTCCTTTTTCTTCCTCTTAGCGATTTATTTTTTTTTCTTTCTTTTCTCTTCAACCCCAGGCCTCTGGTGAGCGACAATTCCCGGCCTCCATTGACGATTCCCAGTCTCTGCGATGACTCTCAGCCTGGCGCAGCAAACTCCCAGCATAGCAACTCCTGAGTGGGGCAGTGGCTTCCTGGCATGGTTACCTTCTGGCCTGGCAGAGTGGCCTCCTCCCATTGGGGCTTCCTGGCGTGTCATGATGACCTCATGGCTTGGCACAGTGACCTCCAACTGTAGGGGCCTCTTGGCATGGCATGTCGTTGTGTGGTGCCAGGGCCCAGTGCGGACTGGAAGCTAGGTGCCAGCATGGTCAATTGTATTGAACTTTTTTTTTTCTGTAATGCTAGATATTTTATTTCTCTATTGTTTAAGATCTTGTAACTAAAGCTAGGTACTTCTGTATCTAAGTTGGTGCTGTAACTGACACGTATAAACTTTTTACTATACTCTTTGAGCATGTGACAATAAATGCTATTCCATTCGATCAATTACGGAGTCAATTCTCACAGTCAGATGGAGACAGCTGAGCAGATATGTACACAAATGACAGAAAGTTGCGAAAGGAATACAGTTACAGCTGTATGGGATTTCAACTTTGCTAACATTGACTGGAATCACCTCAGCATGAAAAGATCAGATGAGGTGAAATTTTTAAAAGTGCTCCCAGGAGAGTCTTTTGTGTTAGTACAATGATAGTCCTACTAGAGATGGCGTAGTGCTAGGTGTTAAGAGTTTCTATAGGTACATTAAAGAGAACGAGATTGATAAAGACAAATGTAGGTACCCTACACACAGAAACGGGAAATGTATAATAAGGGACAAAGAAATGGCTGAAGAGCTAAATACATACTTTGGTTCTGTTTTCACAAAAGAGGACACAAGTCAGCTACCAGAACTGTTGGAGGAAGCAAGGTTTAGTGAGAAGGAAGAGCTGAAGGAGGTCAATATTAGTAGAGAAATGGTGCTGGGAAATTGTTGGGATTGAAGGCTGATAAATCCTCAGGGCCTGATAATCTACATCCCAGAATACTTAAGGAAGTAGCTCCAGAAATAGTGGATGCATTGGTGGTCATTTTCCAGGATTCTACAGATTCTGGAATAGCCCCTGCAGATTGGACGGTGGCTAATGTCACTCCAATATTTAAAAAGGGAGGTAGACAGAAAGGAGAGAATTATAGACCGGTGAGCCTAACATCGGTAGTGGGGAAAATTCTCAAATCCACTGTTAAGGATTTCATAGCACAGCTTTTAGAAAGCAGTGGCAGGATCAGACACAGTCAGCATGGATTTATGAAGAGAAAATCATGCACGACAAATCTGCTGGAATTCTATGAAGATGTAACCAGTAGAGTTGACAATGGAGAGCCAGTCGATGTAGTATATTTGGACTTTCAGAAAGCGTTTGACAAAGTCCCACATAAAGCACATGCGATTAGGGCAAGTGTATTGAGATGGATAGGAAACTGGTTGGCAGAGAGGAAACGAAAGTAGGAATTAATGAGTCCTTTCCAAATTGGCAGGCTATAACTAGTGGGGTGCCACAGGAATGTTGCTGGGACCTCAGCTATTCACAATATATATTAATGATTTGGATGTGGGAACAAAGTTTTATATCTCCAGGTTTGCAGATGATACCAAGTTGGGTGGGAGGGTGAACTGTGACAAGGATGCAGAGATCCTTCAGCATGATCTCGACAGGTTGGGTGAGTGGGCAAATCAATGGTAGATGCAGTATAATTTGGAAAATTGTGAGGTTATTCACTTTGGGAGTAAAAACAAAGCAGCAGATTACTACCTGAATGGCTGTAAATTGGGAGAGAGGTGTGCGCAGTGGGACCTCAGTGTCCTTGCGCGCCAGTTGCTGAAGTTAAGCATGCAGGTGCATCAGGCGGTAAAGAAGGAAAATGGTATCTGGCCTTCATTGCGAGAGGTTTTGAGTACAGGATCAGGGATGTGTTGTTGCACTTGTACAGGGCCTTGGGAGACCACACCTAGAATATTGTGTGTAGTTTTGGTCTCCTTTTTTGAGGAAGCTCTTGCTCTCAAGGGAGTGCAGCGAAGGTTGACCAGGCTGATTCTGGGGGATGGTGGGACTGACATATTAGGAGGGATTGACAAGGTTAGGATTGTTTTCGCTGGAGTTGAGACAAATGTGGGGGGATCTCATAGAGACTTATAAAATTCTAACAGGACTAGATAGGGTAGATGCAGGGAGGATGTTCCCGATGGTGGGTGTGTCCAAAACCAGGGGTCACAACAGAATGAGGATTTGGAGTGGACGATTTAGGACAGAGATGAGGAGACATTTCTTCACACAGAGTGGTGAGCCTGGTCTGTTTTGCTACTGCACCATTTGTGAGCTAACAGCTTTCATGTGATCTGCATTTGTTTAGGACTGTCTCACCTACCCAAACTTCATATGTCATGGGACCAGGCCTCACGTCGATCAGTTCTGATGAAGGGTCTAGGCCCGAAACATCAGCCTTCCTGCTCCTATGATGCTGTTCATCCAGCTCTACACCTTGTTGTCTCAGATTCTCCAGCATCTGCAGTTCCTACTATCTCACGTCGATCTTACCTTGTGCCCACGCAGGGCCATTTCCGTG